TGCCTCCTCAAATCCCGCCCTCGCGAGACCCGCCCCCAACAGGCAGGGCTCCTAACCGCCGGCTCCAGGGCCCTGCCCACATCCCTTGGGCCGGCCCTTCGCGGGAGGGGCGGGGGCGGAAGCTGCGCAGGGAAGCGCGGAGCAAGGTGCGGGTCATAGGTCGAAGGTCACTTAGGGCTTCAGCCGTGGGTAGTTGCGGCTCTCTCCCCGGTGCACCCTACTCTACCCGCCAAGGCACCTGGCCGCCACGCTCCCCGAGATAGTTTTGTCAAGGCTCTACGTTTTCAGCAATAGAGATTAAACTTAGAGCTGTGCTCAGGGGCAGAACTGCCACCAATTTAGCTTTCTTTAAAAGTCCACATTGGGCCGAAACCGGTTAGGGTCGGTGGTAGAGCGTCGGCCTGCGGACTGAAAGGTCCCAGGTTCGATTCCGGTCAGGGGCATGTACCTTGGTTGCGGGCACATCCCCAGTAGCGGGTGTGCAAGAGGCAGCTGATCGATGATTCTCTCTCATCGATGTTTCTAACTCTCTATCCCTCTCTCTTCCTCTCTGTAGTAAAAAAAAAAAAAAATTAAATAAAAATTAAATTCCACATTGGAGAAAAATATAATAAAAAAATAAATAAGAAAATAAATAAAAGTCCACATTGGTTCCGACCTGCCAAGGGACCTGAGCTACCTCGAATCCAATCCAGCTGTGTTAAGGGTTGACCTGGCCAGGCGCCGAGTTCTTGCCGCATTTTTTAACGTGGCTCCGCTTCAGTTTAAGGAAGACTGGTACTTACTCCACAGGAAATGTTTCTAGGCGAAGGAATTTTATTATGACAAAACTCCCTGCAGTTAAGTGAGGTCTTTCTCTAGGATTTATAGCACCTAATTTTCAAAAGTTAAATACCTTTTCAGAAACCACAGCCCTGCCTCAGAAGGTATTCAAAATAAAAGTGCGTCAGCTATGGCGGAGAGCCCACCCTCTTGGCTGGTGATAGGGGTTTTTCTTCCCATGATACAGGCCAGTGCTTCTAAAGCTTAATGAATATAAGAAACAGCTGGGACTCTTGTCAGAATACAGATTATGACTCAGTGGTGTCTGGAGTAGGGCTCAAGTTTCTGCGTTTCTAACAAGCTCCCATTGCTCTCAGGTTGAAAGTCCCAGTCCCGCCCATGAAGAAGGTCCTGAAGGGACTGGCTCCTGCTTACCTCCTCGGGCTCATTTTAAATCTCTGCCTTTGGCTCTCTGAGAGTCAGTCTAGAGGTTCTTGTGACAATTTCCCAAACTGCTAACCCCCTTCCCACCACCAAAACCTTTCTGCCTGCAGCTCTTCCTTTTCTCCTCTCCCTTTATTACTTCTTCCAAGTGATTATCCCAATATATAATTTCTTGTTTAAATATTTTTTTATTGATTTCAGAGAGAAAGGGAGAGAGAGAGAGGGATAGAAACAGCAACAATGAGAGAGAATCATTGATTGGCTGCCTCTTGCATGCCCCCTACTTGGGATCAAGCCCTGAAACACAGGCATGTGCCCTTGACCGGAATTGAACCTGGGACCTTCCAGTCCACAGGCCGGTGCTCTATTTACTGAGCAAAACAGGCTAGGGTAAGAACTATCTATTTTATTTTTTTGAAGTGAGATATACAATACCTAATATTAACCCTTTTAAAGTAAACGATTCAATAGCATTTAGTACATTCAGTGTTGTGCAACCACCACCTATATCTAGTTTCAAACCATTTTCATCACCCTGAGAAAATTCCATACCCATTAAATAGCTGCTTATAAAGCCACATACTTTCATTTTGGTAAAATGTATATAAATTAGCACCTAATAAAACAAGAGGTCGCCAGGCCATGACTACACACCACAGCCTAACAGGTGCTATCACTATTGTCCAGCAATGAGGCAGGCCTGAACCTCATGGAGATATCAGGGCTCTGTGACATAGGCAGGTCCTGGTGGCCCTTAAATCTCAAGCTCCACAAGTGTTAAATGGGATGAGTGTGCCCACCTCATAGGATCACAGGCATGAGTGAATGCTCAGTGTCTGCCCCAATTGGGGCCAGCCCGGCTGGACCCCACCAGTACATAAATTTGTGCACAGAGCCTCTTGTCTTTAATAAAAATGATAGTATACATCAAACCTATATCAAAATATATCAACCCTACTTGTGCCTGGGCTTACACCATCTATCTCTCTGCCTCATCTCTGCAGGGTGAGGCTCAGAGAGGTGGAGGAACTCAGTCAAAGTCACAGGGCCAATAAGTGGCAGCCTATCTGGCTCCCAAGTTTCTCTACTGTACTACACTTCCTGAGCTGTCTCCATTCCATCTTCTGCCCTAAAGGTGGAGGTTCCACAGTTGGTTCTCACCTTTGAATGTGGCATCCAAATTTGATAAGCATTGTTATAAAACAGTGATTGACCTTTGACTCCCCTGGAATGAATTTTTAAATGCCAAAGTTGTGGGTTTGATCCCTGATCAGGGCACATACAAGAATCAACCAATTACCGTATTTTTCGGACCATAAGACGCTCCGGACCAAAAGACGCACCAGTTTTTAGAGAAGGGAAATGAAGAAAAAAAGATTCTGAAACAAATAGTGTCCTAAAATATTTTATGTGCATTAAAACCCAACATCACAGTCATAAACACATGTAATCAACCCTGTAAAGTAAACAGCAGCATTTAGAACCATTTTAGAGCCGGGCAAGCACACAGAAACCACACAGAGACCACACAGAGCCGGGCAAGTAAAAAAACTTCTTTTTTAAAGTATATGTGTAGGCTATATTTGGACCATAAGACGCAGGGACTTTTCCCCCCCACTTCTGGGGGGGAAAAAGTGCGTCTTATGGTCCGAAAAATACGGTAATGCAAAAATAAGTGAAACAACAAATAGCTCTCTCTCATTCCTCTCACTCTAAAAACAAAATCAATAAATAAAAAAATTTAGGTATATGGTAGCACAGGTAAGTCTCTTGGTGTTGAGGGACCAACAAGGTGGAATAAGAAACTAAAGAGACCTCATTCCAAATCTCAGCTCTACTACTGTATAAAATGGAGATATTGTCCCTCTCCTTACCCTACCCCCATACACTACCTGGGCATGGGCCACTGCTGGCCTCTAGTGGCCACTGGATAAATTGCAGAGAGTTGGCCTGAAAATGGGGATGTGTGAGAAGCTTTTTTACCTGATGCTGGAGTTCTCAAGCTTGACAGATCCATAACTCCCTCTTCCATAAACTGTTATCAACACTCTGATTTAATAAACTTGATATGTTAATGTAATTTTCATGGTTTTAGAAACGTGTTATTCCAAATTTTAATTTGCCTTTGACCCAATAAACAGGAGGGATAAAAAGCACGTGTGTGTGTGTGTGTGTGTGTGTGTGTGTGTGTGTCTTTGTTTTGTTTTAGTTGTAGCCAGAGTATGGAGCTTATATAATTCCTCCTTTGGAAGGGGAAGCTGAGTATTGTTTGTAGTCTATTTTATAAATGATTTGTAAAGTATTTGAAAAGGGATCTATTCTGTGGGGTGAAGTTTAAAACTGAGCATAAAGACACTCAGAGTCTTATATGATTTCAGTATGCCTAAGTGATGACATAAGCTACCCGTAGATCTGCACCCGCACCTTTTTCTACGCTGGTGTCTTTGGCCCAGCATAAGTCCCTATTCTTCGTCATCCATATCCATCCTCTTTGACTCATTGTTCCCCCGTGTCTTTCTGCTCTGTATTTGGTTAACTTCTCAAATGTGCGACTTCACCTTGGTTGAGTTTTCTGCAGTGTGGATCCACTCCTCTGCCTTCAGTGCAGATTCCATCTCTGCCACTGATTTTGGTTCTTTGTGTTCTACATTTCAGCAGGCTGTATCATTTGAGGTTTTTCTTGTATCTTTTTAAAAAATATATTGTTTATTGATTTCAGAGAGAAAGGGAGAGGGAGAGAGATAGAAACATCAACAGTGAGAGAGAATCATGGACTGGCTGCCTCCTGCATGCCCACACCGGCATGTGCCCTTGACTGGAATCAAACCTGGGAGCCCTCAGTCCGCAGGTTGATGCTCTATTCACTGAACCAAACCAGCTAGGGCTTTTCTTATATCTTATTGAAAACTTAAAACAGACATTTCCTCATATTTTCCATAGCAATTGATTTCACTATTACCTTTAGAACTGGCAAGAGGAGCTCCTACCTGGGCCCTGTACTTTCCAGTCCCCGTCATACAAAATAATTAACTGTATCAAGGACCTCAGACACCTCTGTCACTCAGGATCTGGCCTGCTGCCCGGCACAGCATGACCCACTACACACCCACTCTCTTGGCTGGGCGGTGCTTCTTCACATCTTACCTAGGTCTATGGGAGCAAAAAAACAACTGCCTCTGCAGGTTTAAGGAAAGCTTAATGGGGCCCATGCTAGGTACTATTTGAAAGTGCAGAGAGGCTTTGAGTAGAAAAGTACTTAAGTAAGAGAAAAGACAAATTAATGAGCTTGTCAGAGCTTTCCTCTCAAATAAACAACAGAAATGAGGGCAATGAAATAGCATTTTCTAGTAATGCTGAGTGTATAATTTCTTCTTGTTCTTGTGTTTTTGTTAGTGGTTCTGGGAGTACCTGTGAATTAGTACAGTATTTGCCTCAGTTGTAAGTGGAAGCTGAGGACATTTTTGCAATATTACATAAATCACTTTATGCACCACTCTTAAATTTGTCTGTATGTCTGCACTTTAGACATAACATGATACTAATTATTTACAGTGGTAACTAGATGGACATTGAATGCTAGAATTATACATTTTAATATTTTTGCATAAAAAATTACTTATAAGTTAATATTTTAATTAAAATTATAATTTACATTTAAAATTTAGAGTTACTTAAAATTGAATTAAGCTTTCAAAGACACAGTCAGTTTGCATGGTTAAGACCACAGTATTTCCAAGAGAGTGATGATGTCACAGAACTGGGGTTCCAGGAGGCAGGGGGTGGGGGATGGGGGTTGCCCAGCATTCCCACCTTGTTTAGAACAGGCAGAGCTGTGAGCTGGGTGGGGCTAGAGTATATAGTTCATGAGGAAGAGGAGGCTTCTACCCAAACAGCTTTGTTCTACAGATTCTCTCAGAGTTTCCTGGGCCAGCTGGGGCTGGAGTGAGAGAGGGGGAGGAGAGAGGTCAGCTTCAGAAGGGGAGGTAAGAATGCAACTGCCAGAACCAATGTGTTCCCCAAGGGGACCTCAAGAGCGGACTTCACTGCTTTCCACGGCTTAGTGACACGTGACTCTGAAGGAACCTGCTCAGTCAGGACAGGGTAGGGTTGCATGAGACATACTTATACTAAAAAACTATTCGTAGTTTTGTCTGAAATTCTAGTATAACTGGACATCCTGTGATTTTATTTGCTAAGTCTGGCACCTCTAGGGTGGGAGACAGAAACAAAAGAATGGTTGCAAGCTCAGGATGGCATGGAGTGAGTCTTAGAAGACAGAACAAAAGGCCTGTGAGGAGACAGGCCATCCGGGTAGCCACCTTGTTCAAGCAGAAAATGCTTTATGTCTGGTGGTGGAGAGAGAAACTAAGGCCTTAGCTCTCAGGAACATATACCTAGTGTAAAGGGAAAGATACACACACACACACACACGCACGCATGCACGCACGCACACGCACACACACAAACACCACATGTGTAAAAATAGCCCGTTCTTTGTCTTCATGGCATTGACTGTTTTGAAGAATATAAGCCAGTTATTTTCTAGACGTTCCCTCTGTTTGGCTTGTCTGATGTTTCCTTGGGATTAGATACAGGTTATGCATCCCCCGTCAGTCAGAATAGTACATAATGATTAAGAAGAGACTGGAAACAGCCAGGAGGGGGGGCCGTGAGTGAGGATGTTTGGCTTCTCTTTGCAGATTTCTCAGACTCTCAGAGAAAACCAGCAGGAAGTCTGTGAGACCAAAAGAACTGCAGGCCCCCAGCTGACCTCCCCTCTGAGGATGACAAGGGCGTTATTCATCTCCTTGTTCAGCTGCCTCGCTGCCATAAACCAGGCCAGCCTCATCAACCGCTGCGACCTGGCCAAGGTGCTGCACCAGGAGGATTTGGATGGGTTTGAGGGCTACTCCGTGAGTGACTGTGAGTGCCCTCGGCCTCCCACCCCCCTCATCTCTCTTGTCTTGGTCATCTCCTACTTGGCCATCTTTCTTTCTCGCTCTTGTCTTTGAAAGCCAAGTTCAAAACGCAGCCCTCTCCAAGACACCTTTCCCAACATCCCATATTCATTCAGCAATTATTGACCGAGTATTTATTATGTACAGGAACTATTTTAGGTGCTAGGGGTATACTGTAAAGAAAGCTACTTCTCTCAGAGTGTTCACATTCTGGGGAAGAGACAAGCAATGAACAAACACAAAACATATAAAGTACTTCCTGGTGTTGACAAGTGCTATACAGAAGAATAAAGCAGGGGGACAGGTGATAGGTAACACTGTGCTGGAAAGGAAGTCAAGGAAGGGGGCAGTTTCTAATTATTTACAGTGGTATCTAGATGGATGTTGAATGCTAGAATTATATATTTTAATATTTTTGCATAAAAAGTTACTTGTTTTAACATTTTAATTAAAATTATAATTTACATTTAAAATTTAAAGTTACTTAAAATTGAATTAAGCTTTCAAAGACACAGTCAATTTGCATGGTTAAGACCAGAGTATTTCCAAGAGTATTTCCTGAGGAGGTGACATTGAATGGTGCTGAATAAAGTAAAGGGCATGTCACCCAAATGTCTAGGGGAAGAGCATTCCAGCCAGAGGGAACAGTCAATGCAAAGGCTTCATACTATCGCATGCTGGCGATATCTCCACTTTGCCCAGAATTTGTGCACACCTGTCCTACAACACGTTCATCTTTTATTTGTGGTATTTGTAGGTCCATATCTTCATTCTTGTCGTATAGGCCATTTGAAGGTAGCATCTGTATTTGGCCCAGCTAAACGTCCCTCGCTGGGCTTTGCACAGTTCCTGGCACACAACAGGTGATTGTTAAGTGCCGGAAGCATGGACGGAAAGATGAATCGTTAAACTGATGGGTGGGTTGATGGACCAAAGGATGGGAGGAGGAGCTAAGAGGTGTTTCTAGCCCACCAGTCCCATCTAGTCTCTTAGGCCTTTTTCCTTTCTTTTGAGTCCTCATATCCCTTTCTCCTTCATCTCCCTTCTCTCTCAGCTTGGCCTCCTCTAGCACCCTTTTCTCTTTTTTCCCAAGGGCTGTGCCTAGCTTTTGTGGAAAGCCATTTCAATATATCAAAGGTAAATGAATATGCAGATGGCAGCTCTGACTATGGCATCTTCCAGATCAACAGCCACTACTGGTGCAACGATTACCAGAGTCACTCGGAAAACACTTGCCACGTGGCATGTAAAGGTCTGGCCAGGGCCCCAGGGGGGTCGGGGGAGCGCGGGGGGAGGGCAGTGATGACCAAGTTTTACTCACAACACTTCTCTTTCCACTCGCAGTCTGAAAGTGTCCCCAGAGGGATGGCTCAAGGAATCGGGGGCTTTCTTTACTGAGTAGGTTTGACTGGTGACCCTAATGCTCATCAGTTAGAGGAGATTCTTCTGTGCCCTCGAGCAGGGTCCAGAAAGGCTCTGCACAGCCTGCAGCAGCCAACAGTGCTTATGTACTAAGCACTTTACATGCATAGCTGATGTCATCCAACTTTCATTCTGTGAAAACTAGTATTCCCACTTTACAGAAGAGCAAACTGAGGCTTATCGGATTAGTGGTGGCCAGACTGATGAACCTGTCTGGAGGCTAATCAATAAGTTGTCCTTCTATTTTTTTATTATTTTATTAATGATGTTTTACAGAGAGGAAGGGAGAGGAATAGAGAGTTAGAGACATCGATGAGAGAAATATTGATCAGCTGCCTCCTACACACCTCCTACTGGGGATGTACCTGCAACCAAGGTACATGCCTTTGACTGGAACTGAACCTGGGACCCTTCAGTCCGCAGGCTGATGCTCTATCCAGAGCCAAACTGGTCACGGCAAAAGTGTCCTTCTAAAGCAATAAGTGTCTCTGGCTAACGATCTGACCAAAAGCAAAGGGCAAACTCCCCATTTCAGAGCTGATCCAATAGACTCCACAGTTGCATGACTGCCCCTCACCTCATCTTTTGTATTCTGATTAACATCCCTGGATATTTACCTAAAGATTTACCTAGGATTTCACTGTGCTCTCTGTGCTGCCTATTTTGGCATTTTCTTTCCCTAAAAACTTCCAAAGTTTGGGTGAACCACCATCTACTCTGGCTAAAAACTACCATCGTAAACAGACCCACCCTGACCTCCAGCAGGCGCTGTAGGGATGTCTAAAGGGGCCTGTAGGAGGGAGGCCTTGCAGCTCTGGAAGTACTCAGCCCCCAGGAAAAAGGCGGGGAGAGCAGGAGTCTGCCTCAGCCTTCGGGACTGTCCTGTGCTCTCACAGGTATTCTCTCTCTCCTTTTCAGAACTGCTGAGCCCCAATCTTCTCTCAACCATCAAGTGTGCAAAAAAGATTGTGTCCAAAGCAGGGGGGATGAAGAACTGGTGAGGAGGATGCTGTAGGACTAAGTTAGCGGGCAGAGCCCCAAGAAGGGGAGAAAGGGACAGTAGGCAGGGCCCAGACCTTTTCTGCAGTCTAGACAAGTGTAGGGTAGTGACAGGGCTTGGAACTCTGATGTGAAGGCCTGGGATCTAGCTCTTTCTCTGATATTAAAGAAAAGTCTTTTGGCTGCAGTGACAAAACAATTTGACTAGCTGAGAGAGAGTTGATCTGAGAAGACTCGGTGACTTGCTGAGCCCACCCCTTCTGTGGGCCTCAGGAACACAGTGGAAGTTGGGCTGGAAATTGGCAGGTCTCTGCTTCTCTTGGTGCATTTGCTTTACTACTCCCTCTGCAGACCAGCTTTCCCTGCTCCCGGTCTATAAGATAGACTATGCCGCCTAAATTTATGATCTAATATCCCAAGCAACCACTGAGACTGGCTAAGTCCAGTCCCAGTCTAAGTGCCTGGGTTAGAGAATCCAATTGGCTCAGCTTCAACCCCATGTGCCCACTTGGTTCAATCAGCTGTAGAGATGGGAACAATTAAAGTAACGCAATCATGGCCGCCACAGGGTTTCTCTCTCCAAAACTGGCAGCAACATCTATATATATATATATATATAAGTGACCATTGCATCCAAAACAAACAGGCTGTGTGGGGAGACCAGGTCAGCAGGGGGGTTAGAGAGGGGTGACCAAATGACTGAGCAGCAGGCTGCATGGGGCAACCAGGCCAAAAAGGGGGGGGGGGGACATTTGGGGCAACTAGACTGGCAGAGGGAAGCAGTGAGGGGCAACTGGGCCAGCAGAGGGGGGCAGTGAGCAGTGGCCAGGCTGGTGGGAGGGGGGCAGTTGGGGGCAACCACACTGGCAGGGGGTGCAGTAAGAGGTGACCAGGCTGAGAGGGGTGACAGGCCAGTGGGGAGGTAGTTAGGGGTGACTATGCCAGCAGGGGGTCGGTTAGGGGCAATCAGGCAGGCAGGCAGGCAGGCAGGCAGGCAGGTGAGCAGTTAGGAGCCAGGGGTCCCGGATTGTAAGGGGGATGTCTGACTGCCGGTTTAGGACAGTCATACGGATCGGTCCTAAACCGGCAGTCGGACATCCCCAGAGGGGCCCTGGATTGGGGAGGGTGCAGGCTAGGCTGAGGTGACAGCCTCTCTCCCCCCATGCACGAATTTCATGCACTGGTTCTCTAGTTTTCTATAAAAATGTGTTTTCTATAAAACTATAATGACCGTTAGGGCTGAGCCTTTCTGGAGGGAGAGCCAATGGTTGAACCTGGAATATTTATATATTAGTAAATCTCAGCTGTACAACAGTATTCTCCCCCTTCAGGAGGAGATAAGGATTTTAAAATGTCAAAGCATACTGACCGGGGGGTGGGGGTGAGGTGGGGGTGGGGAGAGGACAAATACCATGGACAAGGGAAACTTAAAGGGAAAATTAGAAGGACTGCAGAAAGATAGATGAGAGAGCGAGGAATGAAGTTGCTCTGTGTGGAAGACTGACTAAGAGCTGGGCCACGTGTGTGGGAAGCAAGAACCACTCTTTTTCTCTCCACAGGGCAGCATGGTCAATACACTGTGCCGGCCGGCCACTCTCCTACTGGGTAACAGGATGTCACATGGGATGAGGCAGGGTGCAGGCCTGCTGTGGAGTCATTCTAAAACTCCTCTCCTCCCATGGGGATTCTTCTTCTTGCCTCCACTTCATGTTATTTTCTTCCCTTCCCATTTACAAATAAAACTGACCAGAGCCCCAGGAATAAATGGTTTTCTAGGGCTTACTCCTTGTTCCCATCCAGGCCCAGGCCCCTGGTTCCTGATTGTCATTTGTAAACTAAGAGGACTGCAATGAAGATGTTTCTGAATTTTGGGAATTATTAAAAGTCTTTGTGCAAAGAATGTGTTCATTATTCATTATTAATTCCATGTATCTGAGAGTACCTAATGTATAGTAGGAGTATTGTTAGGTACTAGAAGAAGGAGGGCGACACTTAACCATTGTTCTTTTTTTTTTAAAATGTGGATTCTTTTTTTTTTTCTTTTTTTTTAAAAATATATTTTACTTATTTTCACAGAGAAAAAGGGAGAGGGATAGAGAGCTAGAAACGTCGATGAGAGAGAAACATTGACCAGCTGCCTCCTGCACACCCCCCACCAGGGATGTGCCCGCAACCAATGTACATGCCCTTGACCGGAATTGAACCTGGGACCCTTCAGTCCACAGACTGACGTTCTATTCACTGAGCCAAACTGGTTTTGGCATAACCATTGTTCTTGAGGTGTTCATAATGTAGGTGGAGAAGCAGACACACATGGGAATGGTGGGTGCACAAATGAATGGATACACACCTTCCAGCCCCTTCCCCCAAAGCACCCCCACATCAATGGCACCGAGCACCACTGCACTACTTTCTTCACCTTAGTATAGCTGACTCTTAACCCTACCCATTACCTACTTCTGAGCCTTCTTTCAAAAATACTTGGCTGTAGAGGAAATACTGTGGTCCTGATAATGTTTCAAACCAGTAATTATAGATTTTATTACCCATTTCGTTATCCAGTGTATCCTCCATTCTCTCCTACTGATAAGAGGACGACAGAGGTGAGATGATGAATCAAGCTTGTTGGTTGGGCAGATCCAAATTCTCATCACCACCTTTGGGACAAGGGGTGGTAACCAGATAAATAGATATATACAGTGGTATTCTAACAAATGTTCAACGACCAGTACTCAAAAAGAACTCACAAACACAAATCCTAATTTGTAGCCTTTGACAATCTTAGTGATGTAAAAACACCATAAATGTTTTCAAGCTACCAAACTGATATCACTAAATACAAAGTTTATGGTATCAACATGCCATAAAGAAAAGAAAGCCCAATACTTTTTAGTCAGGAAACGCCCTTCTGAGGTAAAAGACTACCATTTATTGCACACCTGTAGGTGGAAGCTACACTCACTTCCTCCTAGCGCCAAAGGGATTTACATCTTATATAGATCAACCAACCTGAACAGCCAACTGAAGCCTAGCTGAACAGAAATATTATTACCAATGATTTACAGAAGAAGCTACATAGGAACTGAATAATATGGAATGTAAACTGTAATTGAAAAAAATAAGTATATATATATATATATATATATATATATATATATATATATATATATATTATGTCATTCTTTTTTTGACAGATTAGAGACTAGGAAAAATGTTCTGAGAACCAACCTGGGAAGACATTTGACATGGAGACTTAGGAGAGGGGTAGGGTGGAGAGACGAAACAGGTGGATTTACTCTCTCCCACTCTCATTGCTCCCTCCTGGTTGTGGAAGCAAGAACACAGGCACGTTTGGTAGGAAATGAGAAAAGTCTAGTTTGCTCAAGCCTGTGACTTGTATGTGAAGGTGGCACACTAAAGTGACTTTTCGGATCCTGGCACAGAGTCTTGCCAAATCCATCTCTCGGCTCACCCAGAACGGCCCGGAGAGGTCCGGGTAGGATCCTGAGCCGGCGAGGAATCAGGTCCAACGCCGAACACGCCCCTCGGCCCCAGGCGGGAAGGCGGCTGCGCGCGCAGCCCACTCCCGCGCCAAACGGCTCGCGTCTTCAGGCCGTACCACGAGATGAAAAAGCACGGGGGAAGACAACCCCATGTTTTACTGATGGAGCCATTATTTTCTGCAATAAACCCTTTCCCTTTGTTTTAATTTCTATTTATCACCGATTAATAAATGGGCTTTCTCTGCCTAGCAGGACACAGCAGGACCCTAACTTACCTACCTTGATCTTCCTCGCGCACCCCTCCTCTCATTTAGCTTCCTGCTCCCCTCACTTGCTTCAGCCAATTCTTGCTAAGATTCCGCGTTACGTCACGAGTTTCTAGGCAGATCAGGAGCGTCCTCGCGCGCCCCCGCCTGGTGGTGCCTCCTCGAGCGGCCAAACGGTCTGAGCGCGTGGCGGTAGCAGAGCGCTGCCGGCGAGGCGTGCGAGGCCGGTGAGCTGACCGAGTTGACGGAACGACCCGACGAGCGGCGGGAGCGACGAGGAGCGGCCCTCAGTGAGGATTTAGGCTTGGTTTTGTCTGCTCGGGGTTATGCCGGTGTCTCCTCGTGGATCTATAGCGATCTCGCCTCATGGCCAGCTTCGCCTCCTCACACTTGAGTGAGCTGTAAACCCCAAGGAGCACTTGTCTTTTTTCCCACGTTTTTTTTTTTTTTTTTTTTTTTTTGTTTTTGTTTTTTTTTTTTTTTGTTTATGTTTTAAATACCATTCCCTTTAAAAGCCTTAACGGTCTGCGGGGCTAAGAGCGTGAGAGCCACCCCTGCGAGGAAACTCCTTTGGAGCAAGAGCTGGAAATGGTGGGCGCAGGCCCTCCCACAAGTATTTGTAAATATCCTGACTGGCTGGCTGGTTCATTGATAGTTGTTTAATTAGATCCATCACACACACACACACACACACACACACACACAGGGCCCTGCCCTCCTAGGCCTGCAGTCAGGGAGCTCTTAGATGAGCCTCTATTCAAAATTGTTCATAGAACATAGAGAAACAGTGAAGCACTCAGAACATTGCCTGGGTTTGAATTCTGGCTTAACCTCTTAAGTAGTTGTGTGATTTGGAATAAGTTATTTTACTTCTCTTAGCCTCCATCTCACCTGTAAAAGTGGGGGTGATTAAAGTAAAGCAGGCCAGTGTCTGGAGCACAGTATGTGTTTTCTAAATGTCAGCAATTACTGGATAAGCTGTGACTGAGAACGTGTCTGTTAGGTCAGCAGTGAATGCCTAGCTTGGAGTATGTGTTATGAGGGGAGCACTTTATGTCAAGGAATTAAAAAGTTCATCAGGATTCTAATAGTGCCACAAAAAAACACACAACACATTAATTGGCATTCTGCAATGTACGAGTTAATGTGACTGACATTAAAAGAATTATACAGCTAACTAATGTGATGTGTGCCCTTGAAACAGTGGGAAGGCCATTTTCCTGTGTCCTTCAATATGAACAATTGATATTTTCTAAATCTTATGTAAGATGTGAAAAATACTTAAAACACTGCTATTTTGATTGATCTGTAACATACACTTTTAAATAAAACCAATATGCAAGCATAACCTCTAACCCCCACTTCCAGTGAAAACCATACTCCCTAAACATCTTCTATCTGGAATGTTAAATATCCATAGCTTTAAGGACTCATGCTTTGCATAAAGTGAGGCACAGATAATACGAATAAGTGAGGGATTGTGAAGTTCGACAGGGTCAGTCAAGAAACCTTTCTCAGAAGAAAAGAGCTTGAATGAGGTTTTGAAAGGAAAGCTTAGTATGGTTTGGTGGAGAAAAGAGAAGTGGACACTTTACATTTAACTTAGCCCAAGTAGTAACCCATTGGTGAACATGGAAGCAGATCAGGGAAAGACGGATTATCTTGAGGGATGTTTCAGAGAGATCATGAAGAGGCCTGAGGAAACATTTCTTCCTTACATCAGAGGATGGGGCTCCGGGGACCACTTTCCAGCTTCAGGGTCACTGTCTGCAGGACAGTGCTAGATAGACACCATCAAGTTTTGTCCCTCTAAGCCTTGTTTTTCATGTTTCCATGCTAATAGCCTCCTGTTGATTCAAATAAAAGCACACGTGTAAACAGACAAGTTCAATACAAGCTTATACAGGACTTGCACTTAATCTAATAGTCCCTATTATTTTCCTGCGTCTTTTGGCTATATGTAAATATCAATATGTATAAAGCAACCCAAAATACAGCAAGATGTTCTTTCAATATCACCCACACCACTGATACTCTTGCTGCAGTTTCTCCAAACTATGTAAGGTTTCAGGAAAGGAGCTGGCTTTCAAAAATACCAAAGAATCATTTTCGGGTTTTTTTTTTTTTTTTTTTTTGTACTTGCTCCAGCATTGCTCTTCTCATTCTCTCCAGCTGTTGGCCTTCCTCATAAGGATGGAAATGCTACTGTTTGGTGTCTGGACCCTGCTGGCTTTGACAGGTGAGGCTCTGTGGGAAAGTTTCTTTAGCCAGAAAAGGATAGGAAGTCCTGAGCAGGGCAGCACTCATGCCCCCTGGACTCAGGAGAAATTCCTACTCCTTGGTGCCTTTGGCTATATTGGGATAAGCCAGCGCTGTCCTACTTTTCTGCTCTTGAAAATATTTTTACTTCTTTGTTGTCACCCTTTGTGTCATGAAGAGCCACAATAGGACTTGGATAGGATAGGGCCCATAGCTCAGTTATGAGGAGTGAGTTCTCTGAATGTTTAGAAAGGAACTGAGCCTTAGTGGGTAACATTGCCACAAGAGTGCCAATTCCCAGAGGGGACTGGTGCCTGGGAGATGAAGTAGGTGGGCTTGGAGTAGCTAAAGGGGACTGTGGGAAAGCTTTCATCAGACATTTAAAATTTACCTGAGCGAGACCTTTCTCATTGTACCTGAGATTTCTCTAGCAGATAACCTCTTACGCATTCAAAAATACCTGTTGCTTTAGCACCAGAGCAAAATGGAACAGCCTTTTTTGAGGTGAAAAGTTCCATGGAAAATGAGTGCCCCTGGGAGTCACATTTAGAAACTGGTGGTTCTCATAATCCACTGTGCATAAGGGTCACCAGGAGTGCTTGTTTTGTTCACCTGCATTTTTCCAGGTCCCACCTTCACACGTTTTTAACCATTCAGTCTGAGGTGGAGCTAGAATTTGTAGTTTTACAAGCATTCCAGGTGATTCTGGTGATGGTCATTTTTAGGCCATATGATTTGAGAGAAACACTTCTGTGAGATATAACAAAGCTCTTTTTTAGGGGTCTAATAATCCCAGCAGCCAATTGGGTCTTCAGCAGCCAAACCTGAGAGCTTCAAAGATTTCTGAAAATTTAGGAAGAGAATGGCTCCTTGGGCATAGTTTTTTTTTTTTTTTAGCAATCCCATAGTTTTCACAGTGACACTAATGGGGAAATCAC